ATGCGTGGGGCGAGCGCTTATCCGAATGGCAGACGGTTGTACTGAAAACAGGCCCCTGGGTTTTGTTTATTATCGGAATGTGGAAATATGCATCCTTCAGGTCTATGGACACAAACCACTCCCCTCGCGTCACGTCTTCGAGAACACGTTTCACTGTCAGCATGTGAAAGGTCATTCCATGATGAATTTGTTGAAAACAGACAGATACAGAATTGGTCTAAGCCCTCCCGACTTCTTCGGAACCAGGAAGTACAGAGAGTAAAAACCGGCTTCCTCCTCTCCCGGGGGAACTCTGGAAATCACGTCTTTTTCCAGAAGCTTCTTCAGCTCTGATTGGAGGATTACGCCTTGTTCTGGGGATGTGAGATGAGTTTCTAAAACTCTGTTAAATTTTGGTGGTGTTTTTGCAAACTGCAGAGTGTAACCTTTGTGAATTAAATGATGCAAACATTTGTTCAAAGTGCATGTTTCCTGCCACACTGCGCTGCACTCCGAGAGTGGAAACACGTGAATGTTTTGTTTCGTACGGGAAAACAATAACTGAGCCTCTATTACCGTTGTATCCTGTGGAGGGCTTCGCCCACACTGACCCATGGGAGGCTGGCATGAAAAGGGCTGTTTGTCAGTTTCTATGTAATGGTTCTTACAATGTTCCCCAGCCATGCCCGGTTGGGGAGGAGAACCGGCGTTAGCTGGTGAACAAAACAAGCGCAGCTTCAGTGTAGGATCACTTTCAGTGCTCACTTCTGTCGCCCGGCCAGGAAAAAGAGACAAATAACCCCTGCGTAAAGCTCTCGCTTTAACTGCAGGTTCATGTTTTTATCAGCGTGTGTGGGGACAGAAAGGTCCCTGTGTTGTTTGTCAAACATCTTACCACTCTGTGCTTTCTGACAGTTGTCAGTGCTCGCCTCCACTGACAGGTGAGGAGGCGAGGCTGGTGAGTGAATGGAGGAGTCTCTGAGCGCAGCCCCTCCATCTCCTCCTGTTCGTGTGTCATTACACCAAGTTAGCTTTTCTTTGTGTTTACCTTTGAACAGTTGCCTCAGGCTAACCTTTTCATTAATTATGGGAGATGTGCTTACAAAAAACGGAACAGATGAATTCAGCCTGTCTGAATGAAAAACTCCACTTTTTGAGAACTTTTTTTAATTTTTTACTTTAAAAACCCTGCTCATTTCATTAAACACACACCCCTCAAACTGCCATTTTTTGTACTGCCTCCTCCACATGTCCTGCATCTGATTAGGTCACGGGCCAGTCTGTTGCTGGCCTCTGCTTCGGAGAGCCCCACATCTTTGTTACATCTGGGACGTTTGTCCTCTGAGGAAGGCTGGTGGGGGCCCCCCAGAGAAGGTTGCAGCGGGCGTGGAACATCTCTGCTGCTGACGCTGGAAGCTGCTTTGTTCTCACCAGCAGCCAGTGATCCCAGTGTCTGGGAGTCTGCTTGAGGTAGGGTCACATGTCTCCGCACCTGTTCCAGAGCGTCAGATGAGGACTGCAGCTGGTTCGGGACCGACTGAAAATGAGGTCCGAAGAGGCCATCTGAGGACACAGGACCTTCCAGGAGTCTTCTGGCATAGACAGAGACAGTTTCAACCACATCTGTCTCTGCAGCAGCGTTGCCCAGGACGAGATGCGGGCGGAACATACTGCAAGTGATGCACACAGGTTGGTGATCTTGTCTGCAGCGGTGCCGATCTGGTCCAAATCTACGGAAAATGGATTTGGTTCCTTCGTCTCCTTAGCTATGCTAAAGGCTAGCATAGCGATGTTGTTGGTTGCTGCTCCCACCTGCCACGAGCACTGATGAATTCTGTCCGTCAGCTTCGCGGTGAGCTGGTCACTGGAAGATGGCGGAATGATACGTCGGCCGACGTATTTCCCTGCTCTTACTCCAAAAACACCCGACAAACTGAGTTCTAGGGGAGGAATGGTGGAAAAACCCTGGTCCGTGAGCCCTTCGACTTTGGTGATGGCTGCGTAGGAGGCAACCGGAGCCCTCAGCTTTAAGGGATCGTTGGCTGAACCCAGGAGGAGGGCGGACACAGCCGGGAAACAGGGCCAGACCGGGTCCCGGTGTCCAGTGTGCTGGACGGCAAACTTTCCCGCCAGAAGAGTCGACGTGGCTGAGGCTGCCGGTTCGGGCACTTCCAGGTCGCAGGCTCTCGCCGACCTCCCGATTATCTCTGGGAGCTCGTGGAGCAGAGTGGTGGACGACCCCTGGGCCGGGGGGGGGGGGGGGGGGGGGGCGGGGGGCGGGGGGGGGGGGGGGGGGGGGGGGGGGGGGGGTGACCATCGACGGCAACACTGGCTCCAAACCTCCTGAAAGGCTGGATGGAGCGCGGCTGCTAGCTGTTTCAGCTTCAGAGGGGGATGTGTTTGCTAACTCCGTGTTCAGGGAGTTCAAAAATTCCTCGAAAGAACAGTCACTCCTCGGTTGAAATTCGTCCTACGTAGGGGAAAAGAGCTCACACCGGCGCTGCTTCTCCTAAGCCGAAAAAAAATTGCAGGCTGGACAAGAGAAGAGCGGCTTCAAAGCTTGCCAAGCATGATCAGATCCCAGGCAGCTTTCACACACAGCGTGTAGGTCCGACGATAACATGTAGCCCATCTGGCACGCGGGGCACAGACGGATGGTCTTCAGTTTCTTAATAGAAGTCATCTATCTTCTTCTTTTCTTTTCTTATTTTCGTAGAAGTAGTGTTCTTAGCGTTGGCTGAAGAAAAACTGGAGTCGAGCTCTGGTCCAGATTCAATTTATAATGGACCGGGTGGGGCCTACACAGCAGGTGGGTGTGGACTAGAAGTTTTCAGTGTTCGGCACGCTGCGTGCGGGTAAACCCAATAGCGACAGCTTTTAAAGGACGTAGCTTACACGAAATATAACTTATAATGCAGTTTTAGGACTGATACCCAGCCAGTTTCACACCTAGCAGGAATGTGACCCATCTGTGAATTAGAGTAAATGAGAGAGTTCCCAGATCTTGTTCTGGCAGGATCCGGCTCAAATTAACCCCTGCCCGAGGCTGTTAGACTCATGAATCTCTAACCAAAATAATCACTGTGAAAAGTCACATCATGTTGCTGCTGATGTGTTTCCTGTTGCTGCTGATGTGTTTCATGTTGCTGCTGATCTGTTTCATGTTACTGCTGATGTGTTTCATGCTGCTGCTGATGTGTTTCATGTTGCTGCT